TCAACCATGATAAATTTTAATCAGTATGATCATTTTAGATTTATGTTTAGAAATGGTAGTTGATGATTTATTTAGATTGTAAGCCGATCAAGATAATTACTGATGATTTTAATGCTATATTTTGCTGCTTTGCTGTACCTCTTTTAAGCTCCTATATAAAATTCCTGAAAAGGTTTAATACTCTGTGTTTATTGAGTCAAGTTTTGATGATGCTGATTCTTATGATTTTAGTGGGTCTGCACTTTTAAGTGGTAATTGTTAAAGTTGCACACATTGCACAATTCCCAATGAGTTTTCAATTACACTATTCACAGTGTTAATAGTAGTATGCCAACCCTCTCAGCAGTGTCTCTGATTGGGCTTGTTGCTTGGGTGAACTCCGTACTGTGCGAAGGGAGGCAGTGCTTAGAAAGTTATATCAAAAAAAGTTTTCATCTAAAATATCCAACTGTTTACTTGTTACATTATATACACTATTCTTTAAATTTCATATGCTTAATAACATCTTATGTCAACTAAATGCTGTGCAAAATAGATATGGTCTTAAGTGTCCAGTGACACAGCTTTTATTGGTTATTTCAGACTAAATTTAACACTTCCTCAAAGAGCCAGAGAGTACTGGCTTATAAAAATTTTTCAGTACAGTGGCATCTGAGGGTTTAAGGAGGTAGCTGCCACAATAAACTGCAGGTTGTTGTTATTTAGGTTGGTTTGGGGTCTTATCCTGAATTAATAACATGAAAGAGGGAGGTCTGCAGGGAACTCTGTTTGCAGGTTCATGGTAGTCAATTACTGAGTGAATATCTCCGTCATACAACCTCAAGCAGTGTTTGGAGCTTTTAATATGCTTCAAATATGCCACCTTAGTGTGAGAGGTAAGCTTTATTCCTATGTCCAGGGGTTAGCATATCGTGGCCTTCATACACTGCGCAGGGATAGGCATCTTTTACTGTTGTGTAGCAGTGGTCCAGTGTGATTTTGTCCCTGGTGGAACAGGTGACGTGCTGTCTGTATTTGGGCAGTTCATGGAAGAAATTTGCCCTGTTAAAGTCCCCTAGAACAATGAGTGGAGAGTCAGGACATTCTAGCTCCACGCTAGTTATCTGTTCTGCCAGGAGCTGTAGTGCGCTAGCATGGGCCTGTGGTCTTATGTACACTCCCATGAGAATGAAGCAGTTAAATTCATGAGGAGAATAAGGTTTGCAATTGATAACAAGAGTCTTTAGGTCTGCGTTACATGTTCTCTGTAGCACTGTGACATCTGTGCACCAACCTTCATTTATGTAGAAGCAGATTCCACCTCCTCTTGTTTTTCCGGACAGCTCCATAACACAATCCGCTCTGAACACCTGGAACTCCGGTACTTGTATCGCGCACTGTCCGCGATCAAATCGCTCAGCCAGGTCTCCATGAAGCACAAAGCAGCAGAGTGTGCAAAGTCAGAATTAGTCCTGTTGATGCGACGAATTTCATCCATCTTGTTGAGCAGGGAGCGGAGATTTGCCAGGTGGATAGACGGGAGTGGAGTCTGTGTTCCCCTCTGTCATAGCCTCACCAAGGTGCCCACATGCTTACCACGGCTGTGTTTTTTCCAGGTCTGTATACTGTGCCTCCAATCGGAATGTCCATATAGCATTCTTCATTCACACAAATCAAAGGAAGGTAGTTCGGTGTGAGTTGTCCGATATTTAACAGTTCTTCTCTGGTAAGAGTAATCCGAGATGAGTTGGAAAAGACCAAGAAAACAAAGAAAAATAACAAACACAAGAAAGCACAGAGGCTGCCATTGTCGGAAGTACAGTACATGTGACATCCACGGTGCCATTGTAAAAAGCGGGATTTTTCAACTGCATGTGGTTTTGTGGATATGTTTGACCTCCTGCTGTTGCACTGTGACCAGAGGATGTGAAGAAAAATACAGGGCCTGAGGTTACCACATGTCCGGGAATGTTCCTGCACAGGGACTCACTGTTTTACCTGACCAGGTCTAACTTACAAGCGTTCAGAATTAATTTCACTACTCTAAGACTACATTCACTCTGCAGGTCTTAATGCTCAGATCAGATTTTTTGCCGAAGTCTGATTTTTTTTTGCGCTGTTGTTCACACTGTCATTTAAATGCGACTGCCATCTGTCTCATGTGTGAACGGTATATGGCCTTGAGGTGACCCACATGTGCAGAAGAGGACGTGACGTCAGACGCAGCGTACTGTGTTTGCAAAAAAAAAAAATGGATGCGACTCATGATAGCATGTGCGTAGCGATGTTCCAGTAAATGTGCAATTGAAATAAAGAAATAATGATAAGAAGAATATCAAGAAGGAGAGCACAAATTTTGCTTATGGCCTCACCTCCTCCAGCACAGAATGGTGATGTCTGTCGAATTTCAATGACATAAAAATCGCATGAAGTGCGACCTGGCCGTTCAGACTGAAGTCGCATTGCAAAACATCGGATATGTATCCGATTTAGGACCACATATGAAAGTGGCCTGGGCCGGATGTCATAAGGAAATCGGATATGGGTCACATTTGGGCAAAAAGATCGGATTTTAGCCACTTCAGCCTGCAGTGTGAACATGGCCTAAAACTGTATGTAGTCGTGTGGGGGAAGACGCAGTGAGCACCGGTTGGATATACCGAGCTTGGAGCTACTTGAAAGGGAGTGATGTTTCCACTATTCGGTGGGACTTAACAGTAAGTTTAAAAAAACACACGTGGCATGTCTGTTAATGCCTTGTTTCTGTAACGTTAGAGAGAATTGTTGCAAGGCTGGAGAAGTTACTATGTCTGTATTGTGCCAGTTGAAATATGGGGTTTCTCAATTACCCGCTTTGTTTATAGTGTTACACATGTTTTTTTCATCGGTACATATACCGTTGTCTACCCATCTATGGAGGAGAAATTCAAATGAATTAATGCTGTTCATTGTGCTGTTCACTTTTGACACAACTCTGTCTCTGTGTTCATGTGTTTTGATAGCATAAAGCTCATTTCTGACAGAGACAACACAAACGATCCTCTCGTTTTTAGGAAGAGGCTCTCTGGTTTTATCCTTCTGAAATAATTACAGATTTGGAGTTATGAGGGGTGCAAGATCTAATCTAGAGGTACCCGAGATTAAACATGAAATGGCTGGAAATGAGCAAAATGAGCATGCCATCGAGACTTTAAATAAATTTGGTCACAAAATGTAACTGATCACTTGCAGTCTGAAGCCCCATAATTCCGAAAATAATGAAACATTTCTTTAACACTAGAACCACCAAGAGGTCATTTTGACCTCCATTACTCCTAATGCAAAAATGATCACTCCCCCTTGTCCATAAACTCCTAGTAAGGAACACCAGCCTGGTAGGCACTGTGAACAAAAACAGGCGTTCAAACACCACTGTATGACATCAAAGTGATGAAGAGTGACAAGACAATACTTACAATATACCAGGGCAAGGTGAACAAAAATGTGTGCATCCTCAGCACAATGCACCAGACGGTGGACGTGGAAAGTGACAGCCAGACACAGTGCACTATTATAACAAGACCAAGGTGGGAGTGCATGTCCTGGATAAAATGATCAGACAATACTCCACAAGAGCCACCACCCTCAGATGGCCAGTCGTCGTCTTCTATAACATGTTGGACCTGGCTGGCATCAATGCACCTAGCAAAACTTGCTAGGTGCGACTTCCTTCTGCAGTTGTGTAAGGAATTACGCAGCGACCACATGCAAAGGAAAGAGGCAACTGAGACTGTGCCACTGCCCCTTCAAACAGTGGCAGAGCAGCCTCAGGAGAAGCAAAGGCAGTGTACAGTCAAAATAGAAAGTTACTTTTGGCTTTTCCCGTTTAGGGGTCACCACAGCGAATTGTCACACTGACGACTCACATGTTGACATTTGGCATGTGTTTTTATGCCGGATGCCCTTCCTGACACAACCCTGATTCGAACCCGGGGCGCAGTGGCAAGAGTGCTGCGCCTTAACCACTAGCCTACCAGGGACGGCTAGTGTACAGTCAAAATACACTGCAATAAAAACCAAACTGTATAATTGTGCATCAAATGCCAGCGACCTGTGTGTGGTCAGTGTACTGTAAAGGTCTTCAGTGTTTGTGATGATTGTGAGTAAGCTGTGTGGCAAAACTTGGAGCGGAATAGGCCTGTAGTTCCCAAACATTTTTGACCAAGGCTCTCTTTCTTTGTAAATATTTCTGAATTAATGTTCATTTCTCATGAAAGCAATGAACTGTTATTATTGTAATGTTCAGTGTTTATGAGCAATGTTAATGCTTTTATCTGTTTGACCAATTTCTCATATTTTATTACATGTTTTAAAATAAAAGAAATAAAATTCTGATGTATAATTATTTCATCCATTTTTACATGCTATTTTGAAAAAATGACCAAACATTCCTGTAATAGACTTCTAATTTGCAATTATAAAGCCTGAAATGGTGCGAGGTCAAAATGACCTCCCGGCAGTTCTAGGGGGTACTGCATAGTTGGCGGTTCTAGTGTTAAAGTTGTCGTCAGGGAAGAAACAGCAAACATGTCTCTGGTGAGGTATGGTATGTTTACTTCTTACTGAATCAACAATATCTACAGGTTGTAAAGTTTCCTAACAGCCAACATCAGCAAGAGTGTGTTTCAGAAATTACAAAGCCAACTTTTCACTGTAAGAGGAAAAATCTGTTAAGGTCTGCTTAAGACAGCTAGGGATTAAATTAATTTGTGTATCTAGTTATTTGTGTGTAATATGAGCATTTAATTGATCTAAGCCACATTCAAAGTTTGCAGCCAGTCCATGGTGATGCAAGCACCAGGCAGTCAGATTCAGTTTATATCGAATCATTTGTTTTAACCAGGAGATTTCCTTGCTGCTGACTGACATATCATAAAGTGTAGGATTATGGATAGTGATGCATAAGCATAAAGATAAGGACAGTTGTTAAGTATGTTTAATTTAATGGTTGGCCTTTAAATTATTGCTAAGGGTTTACTTACAGAACTGGGGCTGGAGTGCCGGCGGAGTCTGGGTGACTCCTTTCCAGCAGATGAGCTCTTGGCGTTGATGCAGGCATTGTTCTCAGAGTGGACCCTCTTAACCTGACTGGCGGGCTTCTCAAACGGGTCGAAGCCGCTCTGCGTGCGTTGAACTCTCACCTTCTTGTCCTCAGGGATGGTATCCAGGGGCTTGATGACTGAGTCTGTTCCCTGGCAGCTTCGTGTGGACATCTTTGTGACACATATCTGTCAGGAAGCAAAAAGAAAAGAGAAGAAAGGAGAGAGAGAATAAAAGTGAGCATCACAGAGAAAAATCCATCTGCGATTACCAGTGTTCAGCCAAAAACTGTCCGACTGTGCCCTCATCTTTCAGATCCTGCCTGTTCATCTATGTGCCTTCCCTCTCTGTAGAGCCCTGCTACTACCTCTCAGCTGGGACGAGAGCCTTTTTATCTCCATGTCTCTTTTCTCTGATCAAAATAGCTCCAGCCTTCACTGGCTACGTGGAACACACACACACACACACACACACACACACTCCTCATTTACACATTTATACCTTATCTTCGACACACATCTACACATACATACAATAGTGCAGACATGCTTCCGATTGTGTCTGACAAACCCATCGGGGGCACACACAGCCATCCATACACTCTATCCATCTATTTTCCAACACAAAATGCCTTACCAGTTGCTCCTCCACCATGGACTGTGCATACTGGACACAAAAGACGCAGGCGGCATGACATGTTTTGCCACTGCTCCCTTTCAATAAAAAATTTAGGCCTGGACTCCCCCACAGGAAGAACATCTAATTACTCTGATACACACAGGAGTCATCTTGCAGCTTGCTGGCATGTCCTTTAACTTAGGCCAGGTTTCACTGAACACAGCAGAGCATTTCTCACATCACAGGCTGCCATCACTTTAACAATAACATATTTATTGTTGTTAACAATAACAACAACAATAATGGTGAACCTTTTGAGGAAATGTTTCATTCTGCAATTCAGCTACAAACACACTCTGTACATCGGGGAGACCGCACTGCTGCTTCGGGGAAGGTAAAAGGAGGCAGTGTGTGTGTGTTTATCAATAACTAGTGGTGTTGAGATGTACGTACTGTTTATAAGCACTGTTTGCCAGAAGTGGAGTTTTTATTGCTGAAATGCTGGCCCTATTATCTAGCAAGAGAGCATAGTGTGTTTCTGGCTGCTAAAGAGCTACACCCTTGACGGCTCTCAGCAAACTCCACATCTTCATCTGCACGCTAGAGACAGCGCACCCTGACGCCATATTTATTGCTGCAGGCGACTTTAACCAGTGCAGTTTACGGACTGTACTCCCCAAATATTACCAACATGTGAACATTCCCACTCAGGGCAAGAACAATCTGGATCATGTTTACAATAACATACAGGGAGCATACAGGGCTGCACCCCGCCCCCACCTTGGGACGCTCAGACCACATTTCTTTGTTCCTGTATCCAGCTTACAGACAAAGACTGAAACAAACCCTGTCACCAAACAAATTAAACTCTGGACCCCAGAGACTGAAGGCACCCTGCAGGACTGTTTTGCCCAGACAGACTGGGATGTGTTTAAAGCTGCAGCCCCCTTGGAGGACTTTTCTGTCAGCGTACAGGATTATGCTGAGTATGTGACCGGGTACATTAGTACCTGTATTGACACCATTATGCCCACCATACAAATCAAGAGGTTCCCCAACCAGAAGCCCTGGATAAACAGTCAATTACGCCACATGCTGCATGCTCACTCTCATGCATTCAGATCAGGCGATGAGATGGAGTACAAAGCCGCAAAATACAGACTGAGGAAAGCCATCACAGCAGCCAAGAGGCAGTAAAGAGAGAAGCTGAATGGCTTCTATTCTACTGCTGACTCTGGACGGATGTGGCAAGGCCTGCAGCACATCACAGACTACA